TGGTTACCCGTCTACATTCTTTGTAGCCATTCCTCTTTCTAACTTTCTCCCTCTCCTTTCTACACAGCAGCACAGGCTGAATACACACTCAGTCCTTCACATGTAGGTTATTTGCCCGTGTTTGCTCATTTATATTTAGAGATAATGAAGAGCTGCATGAACCAAAAACAATCAGTAGTGTAATACTGATGCATCACCAGGTTCTGTCCACCAGATGGCATCAGAGTAACAGTCCAAGCTCTGAGTCGCACTCAGACCATTTCAGGGTTACATTTCAAAGCTGAAAGGTTTTTTCCACTTTTCGTTCATTTTATATGAATTATTTTACTGATGTCGCCCAAAAACAAAGGAAAAGAAATCAAAGGCTGATTAAAAGAATTTGGACAATTTCAGCGTGACAATGTTTTTGTCTTGCTCCCAAACTTGGATATGGACATGCCTGTTCAAAACCACAGAACTCCCTGTCATGTTCTCAAACCAGTTGAGATGATTGTGTGTTACTGAGTTAAATTGCGCTCTCTCGTCAGTATACCTCTGCAGGTATGCCATTTGGACCAAGTGCCTTTCCACTCTCTATCCTCTTCATATCTATGTTTACTTCCTCCTTACTCCGCTGCACTTCCTGACTCAGTAACTGTGCTCCATCCATCTTCCTCTTTCAGTTCAACTACAGTTCACTATAAGCCTTTGCCGTGTCTCTCTCTCACAATACTCCTGCCTATCTCCCTGACTGTCCTGCTATTTTTCTCTAACTTCTTCCTTTGAATACTTTCCTGTACTTCCTTTCCAGTACTTCCTCATTCCACCATCGCTTCTCCAAGTCCTCTTTCCTCTGTCCAGATTATACACCAAATCTTCGTAGTTTTCCTCACAACTGTACTTTCCGAGTCCTCTGGTTACTCTTCCCTAGCACCCAGAGCCTGTCTCAGCTCCTTCCTGAACTCTGTGCAACATTCTTCAAATTCCACCATTTAACCTTGGCTCTGCATTCACTCACTTCCTCTCCTATAGTCTGATGCTGTCTAGCTGCATTCTCCCCTATCACCACCTTAAAGGCTTCTGTGTTCTAAGTTGTAGTCCACCTGTTTGCACCTCCTTCAATCTTATATGTTACATCATGTTCCTTCTTCTGAAAGTACATGTGCACCACAGCCATTCCCAAAATCTTGTGAGGTATAAAAACACACGGATAACATTCATCAGCACTCCTTTGACACCACTGGCCCCGACAGATTCAATATAGAAATCTCATTCTTTATGATATTCATGTTCGATTACTCCAACCCTTCTCATTTATTCAGGCTTGGCTTTTAAGGGACACCTCACTCTGTTCCTTAATATCAGGTACATACTAAGAGACAGTGATCTCACTTTCTGGTGCATTTATGTGCCCCACATACTGCACATGAAGCACATGTGTAGGGACACTTTTACTGAAATTTGAATAACCCTGAAGACGAACCCTGAAGTCATAGAGGTATGTTAATAGACAAGCCTTGACACTGTTCCCTACCCACAAACCACAAAACAAATGCTCGTGGATTTAAAACAAAATACAACTGAAATAATGATAACAGCATGGATAAATAAAAGATTTGACAGTAGGCATTCACTGTCTTTATGCTTGTTGTTGTAGAAGTGTTCCTGACTTGGAAGAAAATCACGTGCAAATTGCTCGGTGGAATAACTATAAAAAACGTAGTAATATGGGCAAAAATCACAGATATCTGTATAATAAACAGTTAAACACACTCATTTAAATTAGGTAAAGACCTTGTTTATTAACAGTGCACCATTAAACCAGCAGTGTGTACTATGACAGCAAGGTAGATTGGGTGTGTGAATTAATGCTGGTAATGTAAAATCTTGAGCCTGAGGTTTGCCCAGAGGCACTACACAGTGCAAGAAATGACCAAAGTAGGCATATCCCCTCTCACTGCAGCTCTGCCTCATGGCAGCTTGCAAAATAATCACAAAAATGTAACATATTTTTGTGTTCATGGATGCAAATTGTAACATTTTGTGTGTGTATGTTAGTGAAAGGTGAGGTGTCACTATGGCAACCAGGACAACACAGTCTTGAAAGATGTGACAGCTGTTACATTTTGACTTAAACCATGGTAATTTCTTAAATGCCACCCAGTAGATTAATGCCTAAACCTAACAAAACCACATACTTGTAATTAATGAGGTATTTGGAAATCATACAAATAATGTGTAAAAACATCTGAGACATGAATGACTTAAACCTGAGTGTGGTGAAAGTCAAGATGTCTCTAAACAACCAACCTCCTTTTAGACTTTTTCTTTGCCCTTTAAACACTGGATACAGCATGAGACTGTCTTCATGAAAAGTCAAGTTCAGGAATGCAAAATAATGTTGGGAAAGCTGTGATGAGGAACACAAACGATTTGGAAATTTGCGTCCAGCAAATCTCACTGTATGATCGCGTCACATTTGACCTCTGACCTCTGTCAAGTATGCTATGTTTATTGCTGCCATTGTTTGAAATGACAACATATAGACATATAGGGAATTAGATATCGGGATTCTAAATATCAAATTACGTTTGGCTTCCAACATCTTCCTCAAGGTCAAATAAGGTCAAACTTTCAGTTCCTGCCCCAAGTGGAAGAGTTTAAGTACCTTGGGGTCTTGTTCACGTGTGAGGGAAGATCGACAGACAGATAGGTACTGCGGCTGAACTGATGTGGACGCTGTACTGGTCCGTCATGGTGAAGCAAGAACGAAAACGAAGCCCTCGATTTAGTGGTTTAGAGGGAGGTCAGGGCTTCTCTAGGCTGCTGCCAATGCGACCTGGCCCAGAAAAGCCGATGAGGACGGATGGATAGTTTGCATCCAAATATCACGTCACATTTGACCTCTGATCTCATTTTTACATTTCACATCTGCTTTCTCTTTAAGTTGAACCCATAAGGTTTTGTAGTATTGTCAAAAAATGAGCTGCCTAGTGGGTTAGAAATATACTGTAATATAATATTATATAAGAAGCTCAAGTTATTTGTGTCCAGTTATTTATGAATCAACACCTATTATCCATTTCCTGCTCCTACATAATGTTTGTGTAATCAGAGTAAACACCCGTCATGCTGCCCTTTTCTGATTTTTACTGCACTACAAACTTCTTAAAGTATGTTTAAAAAAGAACAAGGAAAACAAAATGAATATACATAAAACTAAATACTCCTCAGAGAGTGTGGTGCCTTGGTGAGGCTTTAATTCTGTGAATGCATCCTGGTTTTATTTGAAAATGCAATTTCTTTGTATTCTTACTGTTTGGGGGGTGGGTGCAAAAATTCCCTGATGAATTTGTATATTTTCTCACTTACAAAGAAATGATGAGCCTCTAATTTTTACAGTAGTTTCACTTTAATGGAGAGAGACAGAAAAACAACCAAAAGGTCTAGAAAGGAAAATACATGAAATTCTAAATTAATTTGCACGTCACTGAGTGAAATAAGTATTTGATCTTCTACAAACCACTGAGAATTCTGGCTCCCACAGACTTGCTGTGAGCCCACATGGCACACAGATTACGATCAGTCAATCAGTTACAAATACTCCTGATGTCAATTTGTTATGTCTATAACACAAATCCATTTTTTCCAGTCCAACATCTCCACCACCATGGGCAAGACCAAAGAGATGTCAAAGGATGTCAGGAACAAGATTGGAGACCCTCACGAGGCTGAGGTGGACAACAAGACCATCAGCAAAAAACACTTGATGAGAAGGTGACCACTGTTGGTGCGATTATTCAGAAATGGAAGAAATAAAAAATGACCATTAATCACCCTCAGTCCGGATCTCCCTGCAAGATCTTGTTTCATAAGTACGAGCTCATCCTTAAGTTTGCCAATGAACAGCTAACTGATTCAGAGAAGGCTTGGAAGAGAGTGCTGCAGTCTGATGAAAACTAAATCTAGCTTTCTGATTGAACCGTCCATGTTTGGAGGAAGAAAAATGCAGAGTATGACCAAAAAAACCCATCATCCCCACAGTCCAAGCATGGAGGTGGAAACATTATGCTTTGGGGCTGTTTATCTGCACAGAAAGACTCCACTGCATTACACTTTCATTGGTAGTGCCTTCGGTGGCTCCCCTGAGAGTTTATGACGTCCTGCCCACTTCACCTACGGCTTTATCAATGGTGTCTGGTTGCCAGGTCAACACTGGAAGTGTGTGGCTCAGGGAGACAGAAAGAGAATTGTATTTGGCAAATTTAAGTGACAAATGGTGACACTTGATAAAGACTGAAGTGGCCATAAATGAAAGCAAAGAATACTGCTGATTGACATACTACCTGCTAGTAAATACGTTAACGGCTCACCTAGGTAACCGGAGCTGTAGTCACTAGCTGGCAGCTTGAACGCAACACTGCTTTACACGAAAACATTTTCAGAAATACGGGATTTCCAGCTTTCACTTGTACTCATCCTCAACCTGTATTCATATACATACGAAAATGTCTGTTCTGCAGGCACAGCATCGACAATGCGAACACGGTTGCCTGGGACGGAGTCGCATTTCCTGCTTGAACTAAGTTCCAGCTTTCCTTTCGTCTTTCCGTCTTTAGCTTCTGTTGTTTTGGCGGTGGGAGTAATGCGAGCGCTTGCTATCGCGTGCGCGTAACTAGGTACATGAGCGGAGGGAGTAGAGATGAGGAGGTAGCGCACGCGAGGCAGAAAACCCGCTTTCGGATTGGCTGAGAGACACTGGTACCCAGCTCAGTGAAGCTCGAGAAATTCGCCTCAAACGACCGGAAGTTCCACCGGAAATCGCATTCTTACATTGTCATGCAACAAACTGTAAGAAAATAATATTTGGGATACAATAGATTTCCACACAAAGTATTACGTCACATTTCATTATATCAGATAAGCTGAGTTCGGAAAATACTGACCAAAAACTTCGCGGTATTCGGTTTTCTGACGGCGTGTTTTGGCCGCATCCTGGGACGTGCTCGCGGTTGCTGCTAGCTTTACTTTGGTCCAGAGAAAGAGTGAAGGATGTGACTGAAGCCTCTTTCGCGTGCCTCATCGGCCCTGACTCACTACGCCGTTTGTGTACACTCCTACTGCACTTTGCCTACGAAATGGAGCTCGATGGAAATTAGCAAGCGTGTACCTCTTTGAATTCCCACCCTTACCTTTGGAGAATGATCCACCGGCAGGTTATTTTATCCCAGGTAGGTCGCCTCCATTGTTGCCTTAACGTTGATGTAGTGTCATATCCTGCCAGTCTCCAGCAGCGGGCCCAGCGTTCGGTAACCCGCATTTATGTCATTCTCTTCCGTGTGGAGGAAACGTTACGCTGAATTGTTTAAACAGTGAGTGATTTATTGTAACAGTACATAACGTCAGCAAAAATATCAAGTACATAGCCGCAGCATTTAGACAGAGTGCCTTTTCAGAGGCGGTTTACTTTAAAGCCAAACGTGTTTCCCCAGTAGCTTAATTTTCTATTGCTGCAAGGGCGTAACATCCTTTAAAGTTGTTATTTTGTGTAATAAAACATCTAAATTGAGACTGTGTCAGCTGTATTACACGTGCCGAATTGAAGGGTGGCGACTGCTGTATGAAGACATTAAGCCATGTTTCAGTGAAAACCTTGCCCTTCTCTGGTAAGCAGCGCTGCATTAAATTAATTAATTTCTTGAATGATGTTTGGCGTGAATGTATTGGCGCTGAAGATGTCGGGGCCCTACAGCGTCGCACTGAGTTCTTCCTCCTTATTTGTAATGTACCACGAGCAGGCTATACAAGAGAAAGGCTTACCCCCTCCGGTCTTTGTGCGAGGATTCCCATCCACAAAATCCTCTTAAATACTGGAGCCACACATGATCTGTGTATTTCCTTTTGTTTGCTTCTGTTCTTTGGAGACATGATAATAATAATAATAATAGAAAAGGTATAGCCACGAAGGGATGCATATCACCAGTGATGGTGTTTGTCTAGCTGTCAAGCTGCTGAGTAAATTGTGACCCACATAAATCCCTGTAACAATGGGGAAAAGGCAACGTTTACTAGGTATTGCACACTACCATTTGGTTCTTACTATGAACTCAGGTCTTCCAGTATCAATAGGGCAAACCTATTTTTTGCTGGGTTTTCTGTTCCGCTTCTGAATGGATGCCACTGATTTGCCACCAGCTATTTTTAACATATTCATAATTATGCACATAGGTATGGTTGGTACTAATTAATGGTGGATATTCTCATATATGCAGTATTTTTGTTGTATAATGTCAATGATGTTCATAGTTCCTTTAACTGCATGCAAGTCTGCAGTGGTTGGCTATCACCAGAGGTGAACTCAGGTTGTTTATGATGAATATGAGAACCAGACCCTGATGTTTTCATGTATCACCCACTCCACTGTAAGTCACACAGGGCTGAATAATGTTTCTACTAGAAAGCCTAAGAGGTTTGAGCACATCTTTGTGACCTGAGCTCTGAAGATAAGCTTTTTATGTTTATCTTTCTGTGGGCATTGCAATAAGTAAAACGATAAGCAATTTGAAATTGACAAGCACTGTTTTCTTTGAGTGGTTCACCTTCTTATGCTAAGAAATGTTAATCAAGCAGGCTCAAGTGAAAAGGATTTTTCTAATGGATTGTCAGATTTAAAGCATGATAAACCAGAAAAGCACTTTGTTATTTTAAGGGAAATCCCTGCTTAACCAATCCATTCTTCTGTTTGATTGGGGTCTCTGATTATTGAAAAAAGCATAATCATAATTATTTCTCAGTTATTTATTTTGATTGTTAGTTAATATTAACATTCACCAGGTGGATGTTGAACTACTTGGGGGTAGGGTTAGGTTTCATGCGAACCAAGTGTCGTTTCAGAAACCTGAAATTAATTGTTTTCAAATGAATTCTCTTCCATGCATTTTGGCTTTATAGATCTTCACTTGTGAGATTACATTTGGATACACCAGGTAGATGAAAACTTTGTTGTTTTGTTCCAACAGAACTAAACAATGAGTGACTTTTGGCTAAGGTGAAACACTCATTTGATTTAAAACACAAGACAGAATAATCTCATAGTGAAAATAAAAAAAAATTAAGCACTTTACCCAGATTTTCTTTATTCATAATTAAATGTAACACAAGTTCTGATCCAATCAGCTGAATGTTGCATTATCTTTACATAATTCAGCATCATTGTGGATTGCATATGTAAAAACATATTAGTTACACTGGCAAGAAGAAAGTCAGATTTATCGAGAGAATTCTGTCAAAGCAAATAGAAGTGCAACATTTTCTGTTTGGCTGGAGAGAGGCCAAGTCAGGTCAACATGTACAGAAAGAGGAGCAACACAGCTACTGTAGCAAGAGAGAGCGTTCTCACTCCCGAGGCGTAACATGTCGACGTTTTGTCACGTCCCGCGGCGTTCCTGAGGAACGCGAAAGGAGACCTTCGGCGTTCTTATGGTACGCGGCGGGTTATGGCTGGAATCCAGTGCAATGACGCTCCCGCGGGAGTAGACGTTCCAGCCCTGTATTCCAGCCCTAATCCTAACCTTATCCCTAGCCCTGACCATAACCTTATTCCTGACCTTAACCAGGACTTTAATGATGTTAAATAGCGTGTTTCTAAGCGATTTGAAGAATAAGAGCAAACATGTGTAGGTTCAGTCCAGACGGTTCTCATATTTCCTCTTTTTCCGAGGTCGTCATTTAGGAACGTGGTGGGTAGCCGAAAACGTAATATGGTGACGATTTGTCACCTAGCGTAAAATGTTACGCTTTGGGAGTGAGAACGGGTTGAGCAAGAGCAGGTTAAACATGTCTTTGTCTGCTCATGCTAACTGTCATGGCAACTCGGATACAATCAAAACAACACCCAATATGGGAAAATGCTGTTGAGTGGTGATCAGGTAATGATATATAATAATTAAAACTACCATGATGTTCCTGCCACAGCTGGCTGCCTAACATTATGTCCTGACACCTGACAGTTTTTCAGCAGAATAAATGACAACATAAAAATTGATCTAAGCAAGCAGGAATACTGTAAATAAGCCAAACAATAGTTTAAAAAGAAATATGAAAAATGGAATAATTTAGGATAAGTGCAGCAGCTTCTGCCACTTAGCTGTAATGTAATCATTTCATACTTCAGCCTGTTAAAAGACACTGCTTAAATGTATATGCAAGAAACAGAAGAGGCAGATTTCCAGTAATAAAAGTGTACTTGATAGAAGATTATCACTGCATGAGAAGTGTAGCCTGTAGCTTTTTTCATTCAAGACGTTTAAAGGACTAAAGGTAGTTTAAAGGTTTCTTTTTAGTGAGTTTTGCAGAGAAAAGTTATACGCAGTCAGAAGCTCTACCAGCACTTATTATAGTTTGGTGAGTATCAAAGCTCACAATACAAAAAAACTCAACGTAAGCAACACTTACACTGTTTTCTAGCTGTTTAACCTTTCAAGTGAGAGAAAAAAGTGTGCAAGCTATCATAAAGTGGCCATTTACTGCATGATGACAGCAACTGCTGCAACCAACTAACTTGATTAATAAAGTGGAAATTGTTTGATCATGGATTATTTCTGTCTCTAATATGATTGTCCTAGTATTGCAAGCTTTAAACAAAAACAACATCTGCAATTGAATTGTGTGTAGTTGGGGACTGGTAAAGATTTTCAGTGTTTTCAGTTTTGTGTGTGTTTGTTAGCAGTCACTGCTTTGTGTCACTTGGTTTGATTTAGACAGTAGCGACAACTGTACAACATGTTTATCAAGTTTACTGGGACATTATAAGAAGCAGAGTATGCCATTGGTCTTTATTCCTAATGATGTGGCATAATAGCAGTTTTTTTGTTTCAGTCCTTTAACATCCCTTTTATAATTTTATCATGGCTAAATTGTGGATATTTTAATATTGAACGATTCAAATAATGCTGAGAGATAATTTGATTTTAATGACTTTTCTCATCTAAATAAAATATGGAAGGAATTAATTCTTCTTTATTCCCAGGAAAGTTAATTTGATTTTGTGCATCAAAATGGGCTGTGTTAAGTGTCTTAAATAACTTGCGCTACTTTACCACTTTTAGCACAACAGACCCAATCTGATCCTCCACACTAGAGTTTTAAAGCCTGTGCTGAAACCAAGGGAAAAAAAGATACTTAATACTAGTGGTGCAGCGGATCACGGTTGATCCGTAATCCGAACCGATCCCACTCCACGGTTCGGCACGCACGTGATCCGAAGATTCGATAAAGAAGAAAAAAGTATGTGTATGGTGCACGTGGTGGGTCTGTCAAGCGATAGTTATGGCCAGCGCTAGCAGTCCAAGTAGAGGAGCAGAGGAGTTTGCAGCATTTAAGCAGCCCTTTGCTGCCCAATCCGACCGGGCTAAAGCTATTACAGAAGCTGTTGGGGTGTTTAGCTGCAGACGGGAGGCCGTATTCTGTTGTGCAAAACAAGGGGTTTAAACTATGATGAACGTGCTTGAGCCACGCTATGATGCGCGTCTGCTTTAGTGGCAAGATCGTACCCAGGCATGTATGAGCAGGAGAAGATTAAAGTTATGGCTGAACTGTCCCAGGCATCTTCTGTTGCCCAACTACAAATGGGTGGACCGCCAGGGCAACAGAACGCTACGTGACTGCTCATTATATCACAGCAGAGTAGTAGACATAAAGCCCTGTACTTCCCTATATTGCACCTTAATTAGTTTTTATATAATTGCGTGGAATGAGTCTTGAGTTGAATGTTTTTAACAGGCAAAAAATACTTAAAAAGTTAATAAGTAAATGTTAAAAAAATTTCTTTTTCTCTTTTTTGCTGATCCGAAAATTGATCCGATCCGTGACTTAAAACCGTGAGATTTTTGATCCGGTGCACCACTACTTAATACCATTTGCAATGCCACTGGGGAAAACAGAGCAAAAAATGCTGTTATTAAAAAAATGGGAAAAGATTAGAATAACACACGGTAACAGCACCATTTAAGATGTCTGACGTAGTGCAAAAAACATGCCAACCACGTTAGCATTTATGAGAACTCTTTAATTTAGTGTGAAACTGGAGCTTTACTGACCTCTCAAACTCCTTTATGAGGAATGCTTTGGGAGGTTCGTTGTGCTGCTTGACTTTGTTGCCACCACTTTGTAGGGTCATTTGCACAATATAATATAATATCAAATATGTTGTGTCTTGGTCCAACTTTTTAAG